GTGGAACAGGCTTGACTATACATTGGCTGTCAGAACTACAGCCTAATATCTGCTACTAGGAAAAAACATTATTTTAGTTAGGTACCACCAGAGGTAGACTCCACATATCTATAAGGTCTTCTAACTAGGGAGATATTAAATCTTTCTAGTAGTCCTGCTTCATGTTCTGTGGTTGAGCCACAGTTAAGCTGGATAAAGAAGTGTGGTAGGCATATTGCAACCTATTCCTAACACGTTCCTAACATGTTCTAGGCGTTGATTATCCATAAGGGTAAGGATCTCTGTTTAAAATCCCGTGTAAAGTTACCTTCCAAGTAATTATACTAATAGATATAGTAGCAATACCTTTTTTTGCTATTATTTCTTTTGGTATACATACACATATACCTCCTCCTCCCTTAACACTATCTAATAGTAATATTGAGGAAGTGGTAAAGGTGTTGCGGCCTATGCTTACTCCGCAGCTTACGCGATGTAAGTTGTTTGCAACCTGTTATGAACGTGTTCCTAACTTGTTACAGCCTAGTTCCTGAACTTGACCTAGCTCCAAACCTATCTCTAACTTAAAGGTTTCTATTCTATTAAAGAAATGCATATTGGCTTCGCAAATAAAGATAAAATCTTGCGTATTATAAAGCGTGAAAAGCTTCTACAGTTCCTATTTAAGAGTAGCCTTGGAGGAGTACACTATAAGTGGAGGACAAAGCATTAGGATCCCGAAACTGTACGTGGTGTAAGAGAACAGGTTTGGAACACGTTGTTAACACGTTACTATAGGCGTACATACAGCAAATCTTTATATCAAGCTTAGGTAACTTGATTATTTGCCTTTTTAAAGAGCAGGCATTAATTCTATTAGATTAAGACACGTTCTAGATGGATATGTTATATAAGAGGTTGTATAGGGTATGGGCAGAGATTCTAATAGTAATCTTCCACCCGCAGGAAAAGAAGCGTACGCATTAAGAACAGGTTTGTAACACGTTTCTAACACGTTGCAGTTATTACACTTAGCTGAATTATTATAGATAAGGACACAACTAAGATGTATTAAGTTGCTATTACTAACTTCTTTTAGAAGTGTGAAGCACTTATAAAAAGACAAGTGTTATGGAGGCATATTTACTTATAGGGATTCTATAGGACTACTGTTAACATGTGCAACAAGCAGATAACAGGCAAGTTTCACGGTGCACCGCAATATGTTCGTAACATGTTTCTAACTTGTTTCCAGGACTTAGGCGCTATCTCTAGTTAATTGATCCCTACAAGCGTGACTGGCGCTGGCAACTTCAATCTTGCATAAGATTTTGTCAAGTACATCTACAAAGAAGTATTCACAAAGCATGTAAAAGAGAGCTAGATAATACTACCTCTTTACGTCTGAGTGAATTACTACAGGCATTAACAGCAGAGGAATACTTTTAGCTTGCTAACCTCCTCTCACGTAAGTAAACATATTCTGAACCTGTTCTAAACGTGTTCCTAACTCGTTCTCACATGATTAGAACACGAACCCTCTGAAGATGCCTAAAACTAGGCAATCTATAAGAAAAACCTAGTAATTGCTGCTAGGATTGTGCAATGCTGTAGTGAAATGTTAAAAGAGGTATGGGAAAAACTAGAATCTTATTCAAATGCAGCTAAGCAAGCAGGCTAGAAAGGATATAAAACTAGTAAGCATGTAAGTATTCTTGAGGCCACTTGGAAGTAAGTTTATAACCTGTTCTTAACCTGTTAGAATTGTATGAGTAACATCGTGTAGTGCACACTAGATGGATCTGCAGGATATAAAAGAGTTTAAAGCCTAGAGTAAGTTTAGAATACGCTATAACTATAGAACTCCTAATAGGCTTAAGCAAAGGTACCTCAAAAAGCTTTAGAGGGGAGAAAGTAAGTCTTATGCTAGCGTTATGCACATTCGCTGATTAAAACGTGTTTAGAACGTGTTCGGAACGCGTCCCGCGACAATAACAACACTCTAGATGACGATGAAGCAAGTCTTGCTATGTCTAACTTAACTAGATATGTCTTAGTCCTAATAAGAAATAAAAGAGCACGCTTAAAAGCCTAAAGCCAGAGGGCAAGTAGTAGAGCGGTATCAGAAAGAAGTTCACCAGCCCCTTTTCTATCTTCTCCACTACCAGGCTCTTCTCCTCCGCTAACAGCAACCCAAAGGTATGCTTTGCGAAACACGTTTATAACATGTTCCTAACTTGTTATTAGTCTATAACCACAAACTTTGCAACAAAAGGCTCTTCTTAGTAATTAGGCTCTAAAGGAGAGAAAAGAAAAGCTAGAGGTAGATAAGGAAGAACTTGCACAGAAAAAGGCACTGTTTGAATTGCAAAAGGCACAGTTTGAACTTAAGAAAGAGATGGCTGCTTTTTATGCGAGGCAGGGTTAGTCTACAAATGCGGTAACTAGTTCCTAACTAGTTCTTAACATATTCTAGTCTATCACGTAAGCACACATAAGCGGATGAATATATATTCTTTCTTCTTCTCTTTCTTCTTCTTTCTTCTTACACTCTACAAGAACTTTTTATATTTAAGAGTTTAATACTGTTTTACTATCTATCTTTCCTGATATTATTGGACATAACTAGTTAATATGGTCCACAAAGATCTTTTGAAGTTAGTATGTGATAGAACGCGTTAGGAACACGTTGTGAACTTGTTCTAACACCAAGTAGGATTTATACTAGCGATATATTAAGCTTAAGTCACTTCTATCTAATGCTAGGGCATTCTCTCCTGTAATATCCTACCTAAATAATGGGTGTATAGTATTTCCTGGCGAGCTTTTCTACTGGGCCATTTGGGCTAGATTAGGGGTACAGGAACTTTGTGGAGTATGTATGCATGCGAGTTGGAACACGTTTACAACATGTTAACAACCATTTCAGCGTCGCTTCTCTAATAGAGGCAATCTTATCCACCACCTTAAGAGGTATTATCCTAAGGTTCAAATAGCCCTAGTAAACTGTGGCAGAACCACAATACAAGGCACTACAGAAGCAAGGATCTTCTATAGGAGCTTAATAGTGAATGCTCAAGAACGTATTCTAAACACGTTAACAATACGTTCTCCGCCGGTAGAGCAGACTGCACCAAGTGCCTCCTCTAAGGTTCAAGAACCCTCTGAGATAGCTAGTCCACAACAAGAAGTGGTAGCTGGAGTAGAGGCTAAAGAGGAAGCAGAGAGTGAAGAAGAGGAGCAAATAGTTGCTCCCCTTTACACTGTGAATAATATTCGGCGAAAGCAGCGAAAAGGAGATGTAAGTCTAGTCTCTTGAAACACGTTTGGAACATATTAACAATACGTTATAGCTAGACACCCATAAATGCTAGATTCTTCTTCGATCCAAGGGACTGCCAGAGCTTTGCAATACCTGTAAAAGTCAAAAGAAAAAGTTATGTACTATTAAAGGACCCTATAAAAGTAAACAGTACTTTACTTTTAGTAGATAGAAAAAAAAAGAGAAGAGTAGAGAGTTTATTTTAGCAATTACTACTACCCCTTTAGGTTATGTGCTATTGTACATCGTTTATTAGAACCTGTTCTTAACACGTTCTTAACGTGTTCCTACTTATTACTGTTATTATCTCCCTCCCCCTCTCTAGTATCTTCTCTATCCTCCCTAGGCTCTACAAAAGCATACCGCAAGTGGAACTGGGCGGCATTCTAGCAGGAATTGGCAAGGTCCACACTAGCATCGAAGTAATAGTCTTGAAACACATTAGGAACAGGTTAACAACATGTTGTGAACGACTTACTACGGCCAGGATGATCGCGAGCGCAGACAGCACAAGGAACCTAATGACCTTAAATCCTTAGCAGGGTAGATATAGCAACGAAGTCAAGCTGTAACAAGTTAGCAACGTGTTTTTAACAGGTTCTTGCAGGCTGTACCTTGTTGCTGTCGCGGCTACTGCAAGTCTTCTTCCAAATCATATTTAGGAGGGTATTAGCATTTACAGGGGGGCCTACAGCAGCTGCTAGCTAGGCTTAGAGAACTTCTGCAAAACACGTTAGCAACAAGTTTTGAATATATTCTAAACAACTTACGGCGAGGAGCGTTTTAGTAATCGCGCATAACCTTTGTGTAGAAGTCTACATGTATTAGCATAACAAGTTAAGAACAGGTTAACAACATGTTTACTCTTTGCCTCGCGGACCTCCGTCATAGAGGGCTGGCTAGTCTTCTTGACCCTACTAACCTTATAGTAGGCTATGTTAAGCCTATGATCTTTTTCAGCATGGGTACACAGAGTGCCCCTAGTACCTAGAACAGCCTAAGAATGTTAGAACCTGTTTAGAACACGTTTAGAACCTGTTCTTACTCCGCACAAGGTGCCCTCGTTGTTAATCTTAGCACGGCAGTAGCGCTCTCTACTCTCTATCTTGACTGCCCTATTAGGGCCAACCACAGGCCATGCCCCAATGTTGTCTAGGACGCGGCCAAGGGCGAGGTACTGTTGATAGTGCTTCTGTAACCTGTTAAGAACACGTTCTGAACACGTTTCAATCTGCTTACGTAGGATAAGAGGGATGCGTTAGTGACAGGCATGGCGGCGGCGGCTTGTGGTGTCACTGGTACAGAATGTGTTTAGAACAGGTTTGGAACGCGTTGCAAAATCTTACGGCATAATGTTTGGTTGACCTCGCTTAGCTAGCTAGTGGAGCTTGGCACGGCCTAACCCCATGCCGAATACGAGTTCACGCAGCGCTAATTCCATGGTCATATGAACTGCGCCCTCCTTTTGGTCTCTGTTCCTCTGCTTGACATTGACTTTCTAGAAGTTACGGGCCGTGCATCTCCCACTGTTTCGAGAATAAAACATCGGGGGAATTATCGCCGGCTGTACCACCGAGATCTGCGTAGTGGAGCAGCACTGTGATTTGGCGTGCGGTTTTTAGTTTTTCATATCTTTATTTTTAGTTCCAACGACTGCTAGTACGGTACAATAGGAAACTGGTAGAGTACTACTACCGGCATGCACGAAACTGCCTTGCACCTCCTGTGTATCTCACGTACGTTGATCGCAAACTCTAGATGCTTACACAGGGGGAGACGATGCTGTGCGTCCATTTCTGATTGGTGGAAAGTACCATGGTGCGCTATAGAAGCGTAGATTGCTAGGGACTACGATTCACTTGGAATGATACCGGTAGTCATCGGTAGCTCTAGGATACCCACATACGGTAGGCAGCTCTGGTGTTTTGGGTTGCCTCTAAGCTCAATATCAGTGGTCGCATGCTATAGCACATGTGCTTGAAGCTGCTAACTATGAGCGGCCCACGGATCACGGCGGGACTTGGTGCCACACCATCGAACATGGCGTCACGTGTTTGGTACCTAGGCTACTCTAGGCGCATTCCTTGAAGAAGCCACAAGCGAACAACGTTGGAAGAAACGCGATGCAACAACAGGAAGGTGCGTGGAGCTTACTGACAGCTCTACATATTCTGTGTCGTCATTGAAAAGGAACACGGAGGCAGCTATCCTCACTCATCGTTCCCACGACACTTGCGAAGCTTTCTGCAGCCTCCTTACGTTATGCCGTCCGTGTGATCCCGCGGCACCGACGACACATCTTATCTGCAGACACCACTTTCAATCTTTCTGACGCTTTCGCAACAAAAGCGCACACCGATTCCCAGAGTCGGAGCCAGACACTGCCAAAGTAAAACTGTACCTGAAACACCGTCGCAAAGTACCAAGACAATAGCGGCAGCACGGCTATGTGCATCCATGTTACTGCTGTGTAGAGTACGAAGATGCTAGATGCGTTACCCAAGATCAAGGTCTCAGACCCCGCAAGGCAGACTCCAGCATGCCCCTTTGAAAAACAAGAGACTGGATCTGCGTCTATTGACGGTATGTGACATGTCTACACGAACTCAAATTACCGAAGCACGGGAACCACACTGATTTTGCCCACTGTAGGCTCACCGTCGAACAAGAAGCTGGCCGCCAAATTTCGGAATTCTACCTTGACACTCGCACAGGCGAATGACGCACAAAATGGACTTGATAGCAATGGAAGGAGAGTATCGGACGCCGCTATAGATCCATTGTCGCACGTATGTCTCCTTCGAGAACGCGTGTCGTGTACGATCGAGAGCGAATGCTAATCGTGCAGCAAATTCTTCAACGAACGAATACATCGCCGGCTGGACAGAAGCTACGACTACAGGGTACGGACGTGGGTTTGAGTCAAAGCCCAGCGTTGCATACAGAGATGAACGCGGACAATAATAAGCATAGTGGAGAGGCATCCCGCGAGCTCAACGTGGCGCCCAGGGCCGATAAGAAGTAAGTAAGCTCTTAGTGTCGCTTGATCTCACTACACAGTATACATAAAAATGCATTCATTATGTGATATGGGGTAGTCCATTACCCGTATTTGCATCCTCCAAAGCGCGCTATTCTTATCCCCTGTTTTGATTGGCGGGGAGTTAATTCCGCCGAAGTCTGCCTGAGGCTGAGCACCGTATGCATTACTTTTCAAGGCTAATGAGTACCACAGAAAAGGAGTTTCATTTCTCAGTCGCTTTATAGGCACCAACAAAAAGAAAAGTACAGTCAATGGAACGAACGAGAATGGTTCAGATGCCGGAGACCTGCGACCAGAAGGTATGGACGCCCAATTATACGTCGACAATGTTAGTTTCAATCCCAAGATTCCACATCCACCAGCCTACATCAAAGTCCGGGCCAAATTCAAGAAAGACAAAGAGTTCGATCACGTGTTTCTTGCGCAGGAGTTGCGATCTGGCTCGGGCAAGACCAATGCTCCTGTGGCGGGAATGAATCCGGCCCCTCAATCTGGATCAGCAGCAAAAAACAATCCCATCTGGGCTATCGAATTCAGTAAGGATGGCAAGTACCTCGCAGCAGGTGGACAGGACAGAGTTGTACGGGTTTGGGCTGTGTTAGCGAATCCTGAGGAACGCCAATCACATGGCGGTCATGAGAATGAGGGGGAAGGAAATCGCCTCAGTGCACCTGTATTCCAGCAAAAGGCTGTTCGAGAGTATCATGGCCACACTTCCACAATCCTGGATCTGAGTTGGAGCAAGGTAAGCTGTGCAGGATACAAAGCATCGAAGTAGACAGGCTGACAAACGCAGAACAACTTCTTGCTCTCTTCATCGATGGACAAGACGGTCCGACTGTGGCATGTCAGTCGCGAGGAGAATCTTTGTACATTCAAACATTCAGATTTCGTCCCATCGATACAATTTCACCCCACAGACGATCGATTCTTCCTTGCTGGCTCTCTCGATGCGAAGCTGCGATTATGGAGCATACCAGACAAAAGCGTGGCCTATTCGACTACAGCCCCGGATATGATCACCGCTGTGAGTTTCACGCCAGATGGTAAGACTTGCATAGCGGGTACCCTTGGCGGACTCTGCATGTTCTATGATACGGAGGGCTTGAAGTGGCAGGCTCAACTCCATGTCAAGTCAACACGTGGACAGAATGCCAAAGGCAGCAAAGTCACGGGTATACAAGCGACATATTGGCCTCCAGGTAGTGAAAGTGGGGAAGTCAAACTTCTGGTATCCAGCAATGATTCAAGAATACGGGTATACAACCTCAAAGATAAGAGCTTGGAAATGAAATTCCGTGGGCATGAAAATAATTCTAGCCAGATAAAAGCGACTTTCGCTGGTTGCGGCGGTCATATCATCTGCGGCAGTGAAGACCGCAAAGCGTACATTTGGTCTACAGCCACTCCTGAGGGCGACAAGCGGGAGCAGCGGCCGGTGGAGATGTTCGAGGCTCACAGCTCAATTACGACTTGCACAATTGTAGCGCCAATCCAGACAAGACGGCTGCTGAGTGCATCAGAAGACCCAATTTTCGATCTCTGCAATCCACCGCCAGTCACCCTCGTGTCGCGTGCCGCGTCTGTTGTATCTTCGCGGGCGCCAACAGAAGCAGGCTCGGCAGCTCCAAACCCAGCACATGTCGACTCAACGTTCAGGAAAGCCGCAGAAAGTCCAGCGTACATCTCTAAATCCGCTCATCATGGCGGCAACATCATCGTCACAGCCGACTATACTGGTGCGATCAAAGTTTTCCGCCAGGACTGTGCCTTCCACAAACGCATCCGCCGAAGCGAAGCTTGGGACACTACCTCCATGCGACCCAGTAGTATCCTCTCTAGAACCAACAAAACGAGAAGAGATAGTGCTTCCACTCAACCATCCGACGACCGCATCATGACATGGCGCCAAGGCATCTCCAATGGTAGTTTCGACTCCCACACCTCCATCCCCCGTCGCAGCAATTCGACTCCCAAGCACTTGGTAAATCTTAGCATGCGCTCCCTCGACTCTTCCATCTTCGGTCCAATGCGCGCTCCAACACAAGATACTCCTCTCGGGACACCCAAAGACTCATTATCTGTCGATCGGGCCGCATCTGTACATAGCGCTTCGCAAACAGAATCTGACGAGTCAGAATCCTCTGTTGAAGAGAAATCCCCACCAAATGGGAGGCTGGATCGGGGCCCAGAGGCGAATCCGCTCGCGGTATATGGAGGCCAGAGTTGGCTGTTTTGGACGGCGAACCGCAATGGTATGATGGAAAATAACCAGGCTCCGGCTGAGAAGCGATTGGGCTTGACGCCTCAATTCAGCAATGTCAGTCAGGTTAGTCGTCTGACTGATGAGATGAGTGGGGCGGAAGGGAGTGTGGAGGAGAGAAAGGGGAGGCTTTGAAGGGGATTAAACATCATACTGTTCAACAAGTGATTGGGATATGGGCTTATCGACTCATTCACATTTCTGCAATGGCGCTGTGATGATCTATATCGACGACTGTGTTCAAGTGTAGAGCTCTTATAGAGTAATCGAGGTGGTGACTACCTGCGGTATCCAAATGCTAGTCGTCTGAACGCGGCTAGGGCAGATGCTAACTCCAGATGCTATTTAGGGGCTTTTGTCATCCTCGTTCTCTTGACCTCTGCATCTTGACACTCCATCCCACCATACACATCCCACCATACCAAATAATTTGTCGCTCAACACCGTACCAACTCAGGGACAAGAACCAGAGAAGCTGCGCAAGCTGCTGGATCCATACTTTTTACCTTCTCTTACCTTTTCCCTTTTTGTTCTTGGGTTCCCTGATGATAAACTCGATTGGTAGCTGCGCCTGCTGCTGAGCCTGGAGCCGCAATAGGACTGTCTTCCTATCCCCTAATAACTTAGACAATCGTTTGTCCTCCTCGTCCGCTTCCTGACACTGCCGCTTAAGGCTCTCGATGTAATCGCCCTTTTCTTGTACCTTTTCTTGTACCTTTTCTTGTACCGGTCGGTCCTTTTCGTCCAAGATAGGAACAAGCCGTTCTTCCGCGCTTTTGAGGTGCTCGTCCTTTTGGCCTAGCTTCTCTTTTAGAGACTGCACTTGCTGGGCGGAGGCTTCAACGTGTTGCTTCAGCTCCTGGCCCTGTTGGGTTTGCAGTGTCTCGACATGTACTTCAAGATCATCTTCGCCATCCTTGGTGCATTCCCTCGGTATGTCAACATTCTCTTTATTATCATCAGCTTCTTGGGCGAGATCCTCGGGCATGAAAGCGACCTCCTTTTTCAGCTTGGTGCATTGGATATCTTGGTCTTCTTCCTTGGAATCCTTTCCTGGTTGCACCTCTTGAAGTTGGCCTGCGAGGATCTTGATGCGGTCGTCTTTCTCTCGCTGCTGTCGATTGAAAGCTTCGCGAAGGGCTTGGAGTTGCTCTTTTAGTTCCTCAATGTACTCTTCCTTTGCATGTCCTTGCTGGCCCAGCGATTGGATTTGTGCGTTCGAGTCCTGAGAACGCTCGTTATCTTTCGCTAGAAACGGCTGCCAGGAGTCTTTGTCTACGCATGTGTATTTCTCAAGGTGCTCTTCGATGTACTGTGTGCTTTTGCCATTGAGAGAACCACAAAGTGTTTCCATGTTGGAATATAATTCCCAGTGAGTTTTTTCCAGCACATCTTCCAGATTTCGACACTTGTTGATCAAGTCATTGACAAAGCCGGGCTCTTCCCTGTTTTTGGCCGAGTTTCTCAGAAGCCGATTGTCGTTTGCCAACTCCGCAGCAAGAGTACTCTGCGCTTGTGCATCTCGCCGATACTGCGCTTCCAGGTGTGTACGTGCCATTTTCATTTCCGCAATGACAATGCCCTTCTCCTGAGAGTCTTGCTGAAATTTTCTGACTTGGTGAGACCAGGCTACAAGCTGTCGGTTCAGTTCATTGCAATGTTCCTTCCATATGTCTAGTTCCAACTGCTGTTGTTTCAACACATGATCGATATCGGCACATGTCGTGCAAGGAGCCGATTTACAGCAGTCGAGAACGCGACCAGTCTTTGCGCAAGTAATACATCGAATGCCTTCCTTTTCTGGTTTGGCAGGAGAGCAGTCCCGGCTTTTCATCGCATGAACCGAGCCTGTCGCTATATCTTGTCTAGGATTGTCGTCGGGCGCATCTAAGATGCGCTGGTACCGTCCGAAAGTCCCTGCTGGCAATTCCGGTATCATCTTATATTGGTTGTGGGGAATAGGTTGTGATACTGCGATCGTTGAAGCTTGTTCTCGTTCATGCAGGTAGGCAGTATTATGAAGAGTAAGAGAATTGAAGTATCTCCGGAAGTGCCAAAGGTGAATGCAGAAGGTTATTGCCACAGTGCCGGCCCACAAGACGTGAACATTTGATCGCACGCACGCGACGCGCAAAGCAAACGCAGCTCCAGGGTACTTCGATGGCCTAACGTGGCTACCAACGCAGCGAGGCGATGTAATACCCATTCGCCGCCACTCGACCACATAAATACTGAACAACACCCATCTTCACGCTGAAGGACCACGAATCGAACGCGTGAATTCTTCTGTTCATCGCTCTGCACATCTCGCCCAACTAATTCGAAACCTCAGCAACCTTCTGCTCTCATCCGAAGGCCCACCCCCAAACCAACTGCATCGTTCACCTCAGAGCCACGGCCGCTACATAGCGCACACAGAAGACAGTGAGATCTCCAGGGGAATCTGCAGACATCCACATCTGCAACGACGCAGGCGCGTACTGGTCCGCGATGTCAACAAGTACAAGCCCAAACCCAACGCGCAACCCGGATCCAGCTCCCACCACTCCACGCCATAGCAACGACTTTGTTAGGATCAGGGCAATAGAAGCGCACAGACGGCTTCTGAGTATACCAGTACCTCAAGGTAGACCTCTTGCGGCTGGCTCACACACGGGAAAGCCGACAGTGCACCAAATGCAGAACAAGCGATCCGACAATTTACTAGGGCGTATTGTGCAAACAATTCCGCCTTCACTCTCTCCTTCTCCGGCACAGCCGTCACTGATTTCACTGGCGGGCATTGCCGCACCACCGATATCACCATTCAACTTCGGTTCGCCCCCGTCTAGTAATAATCCAGGCAAAGCGTTTACACCTGTATTGCCTAAGAGCCACAAAGATGAACATACATCTTACTCTCGACTTGCTGGAAGACAACCTCCCAACACCCTAGTCGATCAACAGAAGCCCACTCGCACAACAAATACCTCTTCCACCTTGATGCCATTGTTCAAGATTGAGACATTCGAGGACCTCCTCGCGTGGGTGAGAACATTCTTAGATATAGACTCGGCCCACATGAAATCATTTCATACCGAATTGAAGGAGATGTACGACATAATCAGTGCATTTGAAAGCCTTACAGATCTTCAAGCTAAGGCCAGATATGAATGCGAAGCTTTCATGAGGACCAAGGACGACGAGATCAAGGCTTTAGAAAAGGATATCGCTAGGACGAGCTTCAGCTATAGCAAGAAGTCCAAGGTCATCCAACTAGAAAACTTACAGTCAGAGCTGTCTAGCCTGAAGCGTGTGACGCAAGAACAAGACGCAAAGTCCGATGGCATTCGCGATCGATTTACGAAAGCTCTTTTAGCACCGTTGAAGACTTTTTCCAGGCTGAATGAAATGAATTGGCAAACCGCGCTGAACCAGAAGCAAAATATCATAGCTGTTCTGCAGGCCGAAGTCGGTGGACTGAACGGACAGGCTTCGTGGTTGGTGACTCAGAATGAGAAAGGCCGCGAGGATCTCAAAACAGAGGCTCTTACCAGAAAGCGAATGTGTGGCAGCGAATGCCAGTCCAAGCTAGAGAAGTTCCAGAAAGATCTCAGAGCAAGTCGCGAGATGGAAGCAGTACTCACAGAGAGGTTATCAACGGCAATCACAGAACGCGACAGCGCGTTTGCTGTGCATCAGCACAAATTGGCCGAAGAGGCTGCTCAGAAGACGAGATTGGAGAACGAGCTTGCTGCAAAGGCAAGCGAGCTGTCCCTGCAAGAAAACACCTTCCAGACCAAGTACCGCGAAAAGATGAACGAGAAGCTTGCTTCCTTGAAACAAGAACAGGAACGCGCTGTGCAGATTCAGAAGCAAAAGTACGAAGCGCAGATCGACATTGCTCATTCAAGAGCACCTTTGTACGCGGAAGCGGAATCCAAACTCTCGGTTCTCGAGCGACAGATCAAGCAGCTGGTCAAGGAGAAGGTAGACCTCAACATGGCCAAAGCAACACTTGAAAAACAACTCCACGACATCAAAGCTCGTGGTAAGCAATTGCAGAGCTTCGAGGATGCATATGAGCAGGTCAAGCGAGAGTTCGACGAGCTTCAGAGCACGTACAATGATGTTGAGGTTGAGCGAGATGAGTTGAAGCAACAACTGAGCGCACTCAAGAACGAACTGAAGATCTCGACTGATGCTAGACTCGACGCCCCTGATTCTCGCCGCACGAATGGAAATGCGCAACGACCGGAGGATGAACATACTCGCTCTGTTGCAGTGCATTGGGAGAATCAGCTCAAGTCCAAGATGAGGGCTGTAGACAAGAAGACAGCGGATCTTGCATCGTGCGATGAGGAAATTGTAAAATTACAACTCTCTAAGTGCGCTGAGGCTTCTTCCTCGAAGGCGCTACTGCCGCCGTCGTCGCCGTCGCCGCCGCGTCCTGTAAGCAGCGGTCAGCTGCTGGATGTCGGTGTCATAGAAACAGAAGCCCAGGGAGCTGATACACATGCAAACTTGAAAGACTATAGATCGTTCACAACTCAACAAACTAATTATATACCTATACTTCCTGATGCTACTGCAGATCCGAAGTCTAGCGACCAGCTCATCCGAACAGGTGTTTCAAGCGCTTTGGCACCCACGTCCAGTAAGAAGGAGCCAGGCGTATGTCTTGGGAAGCCGGAGATTGGGGAAGCAGCGTGTTTGGAGGTACTGACTCGGAAGATTGTGAATGCTAAGGCGCGGAAGCTCTAGATGATGATGATGCTGTCTATGAAGTGGAGGAGGAGAAGGCATTGTGTGATGTGATGATACCGGTATGTGGTGTTGCCTTGGCGCTCTCCTCATGTCACAGTACTCTGGAGTCTCCCCAAGCAGATCCCATGTGTGTCTTGCACGGGATTCGGGGTTGACTGGAGTTGCGATGCAATCTGGATATATCTAGTGGATTTGCTGCGCGGGGCATGGTCTCACTTAACCTAGTGCAAGTGATTGAGATTTGAATCAGAAGTTACACCCGGACCGGTGCGTATTATGTAGTATGCCAGTGATGAAGATTCGAGTGTACCTTCATTAGGTAACGCCATGCTGAGGGTTATGGCAAATACTCCTGTACATTGTGACCTCCACACAATACCACTGCCGCCTGATGACAGCGTCTATAGTCTTCAGCTTCTGTCTCACCGATTGATAATGCACTCTTGATAACACACTACAAAGCCCTGCTCTCTCCTATGACACCTCTCCATTCCAACCACTGAATGCTCGCGCCAATCATCACGCCACCACGCCTCAAAACCTCCACCCAGCCTTCAAACCCTCATTATCCATACCCTCCCGCGCCCTCCTCAACGGCTGATCCTCATACATGATCCTAACCTCCCACATCTCCCCCCTTGTCCCCATCGCCATCAACATCCCCGTTCCCCTACCCCCCTGATCCCAGCTCTCCGTAACCCTAACATTGTTCATGCCTTTCATAAGATCCCGCATTACACCCTGCGCCATGCGCTTCGCCTCGCCCCTCTCCACATAACTGCCAATAAGTCGGGAAGTCGCGGCATAGCCCCGCGGCTTCGTCATGCCAGAGCGTCCTGCGCTCCTGCGATCAGCGGCGAGTGAGACGGCCATAGCGGAGTGGACGAGCGGACCGGACGCGATAACGGTGTAAACCGGGGCGGGGAGATGTTCGAAGACTGCCTCATCGACACGGCGGTGGATCTGTAGGACTGTGTAGATACCGCGCTGACTGTCTACTACAAACGTGGTGAAGCCGTTGATGTCAAAAGCGTCGTTGACCTCGTATGTGTCGCCCCATGCGTCTTTGGTTTCGCGCAGATTATCTAGCTTGTCGATTGCGGCGGGGGAGTTGGAGATGATACTTGAGATGGAGGGAAGGAGGTGGGCAAAGGAGCGGACGGGTCCGGTGATGGTGTCGGTGTCGGTGTGAGGGCGGATGATGGAGAGGTAGAATGTGGTATGGGGGGCTGGAGCGGGCGGATAGAGGCTGTCGTCGGGCTTTTGGTAGGTGGGTGGTGATATGGTGGGGGGGCTTAATGTTTTCATCGACTCTTCGAAGAAGACTTCTTCTGCCATTGTAGAAGCTGTAGGGGAGTCGAGGTACTGGAGGAGGAGATCGTGACGCTCCTGAAATAGGCAGACGTCTGCCTTGTCGTTATATTGTAGAGACCATTGAGAAAGGAAAATTCGAGCGGCTGGATAATAGTTAGGGTATGAGACAAGGCACCTGCGTTGAGAGCGTTTGCCTGACACAAGATCTAAAAAATCGCGACTGGTGAGAGAAGGAGTTAACTCCTAGTCGTCGCATGCCCGCTCTCTGACCGCCCCAATCACCCAGAAAGTATCATCACCATACTCCCATAAGTCGGACTAATAGTTGCTAAATGTATTGTAGTCATCGCACTATACTGTCGTATTAGCGTAATCATAGTTACGTCCAATAGCTCCATGTGTGATATACTGGTATGCCTTGGTATCTTACGACTGCAACTATCTCGCAAGAAACAGTCTTTTGCCCGCCCAGACTAAAACGCCAAAGCGCCGTATCTATGCATAACTGCTCGTTCTCCCTTCTACAGTAGCACCCTAGTGCCGCTTCGCCCTATTCGCCTTACCAGGCCGTTTACTCGCACCTCCAGTTTTACCCTTCATCTTCTTGACGGAGAAGTCCCTTCCATCTGCACTAGACTGCGCATCATTGCTCTTCGCATGTCTCTTCTTGCCACCAAACCCATATTTCTGATCCTTCTTCTGACGCTTGTTGTTGAAGATTTTGCCGCCACCGTCGCTGCGTTCGCGTTTTCCGGGCTTGGAGTCGTCGTTCTTGACGGCAACGTCGAAAAGGTCCTCTTCATGGGTGGCTGTGATATCTGCACCTTGACGCTCTGTGGACAATGACGGTTAGCAAATTGCGCGTAAATAGATAGTAAGGACAGCGAGCATGGACATACTTCTCTTGAGCGTTTGGATCTTTTCAATAGTCTCACGCTTTTCCTTAGCGCGCTCCTGTAGCTTAGCGACCTGAACTTGCTTTCCGAACTTCTTCAGATCCCTCTGCTTGCGTGCCTCAGCTGCGGCCTTCTTGCCTGCTGCCGCATCGATCAGCTTTTGCTTGATCTTGCCCATGTGCTCATCGCTTTTGACCATCTCGGCGAAATAATCTGCTGGTCGCGAGAAGGGGACGCCTTCTTTCTTCAGCCTCTTTCGCGCATCCTTTACAGATGACAGACACTGCTTATAGAACGCAAGCTCACGGCTGAGATCGTCTTCGACGTCTTCGATCTCGACCGGCTCATCGGTGACGACGGCTTGGTATTCTGAGAAGGCGAGCTTGTTGTAGGGGAGCTGTATGCGGTGGAGGGCGGCGGTCAAGGCGGTCGTGTTATTGATAGTCAAGCGCTGATGTGGTATGATGTCGCCCTTGTCCTCTGAAGCGACAGACTCGAGGTCTGAAAGCGGAATGTCATCTTCTTCCTCATCATCATCCTCTGCTTCCTCATCCTCATCCTTGTCATCTTCCTCATCTTCTCCAGCTTGTATTTCTTCCTCGTCAGAACTAACATCACTCTCGCTGTCTTCGAGATGCGCAAGGTTCAGCACAGCTCGCTCAGGCATGTCGTCATCATCATCGCCATCGCTATCGCTGCCATCTGTCTCCCACTCTGGTTCCTCGGTGGGGGTGGGCTCAACATCGCTCTTCTTTGATTTCTTTGATTTGCCATGGACCTTGACCTCGACCTCGTCGAGTGGCACAGGTGGGGCTCCATCACCCTTATTCTTTGCGCCATCCACGTCTAAGCTGCTTGCCTTGTTCTTCTTCTCCTTCAGTTTCCTTACTTCCTTTTCATGTTTGCGCTGTTTCTCAAGCTTAATATTTCGGCCTTTGTGATTGTCTAGTGCCGACTTGAGCTTGCTTTTTACCATTGTTGTTCTTGAATAGCAAATTGACCGGCGCGCACGTAACAAGCAAGGGTTGCGAAGGATGTGGAGATGCGATGTGGTGTAATGCGACGCCAACGTCAGTAGCTTACTGCGCAAAAAAATTATCGCGAAGTTCGAAATCTTGGCCGAGAAAACATTCCAAAGGTTTAGCGTCGGCAACTCGGCGCCGCCTGTGGGCGATGCATTGACCGCCTTCGCGAAGGGGCAAGAAGCCGCGGCGTTGCTGCACAGTACAAGGACATGGGTGCCGTGGGCATTCTTAGCATTCACCCTACCAACATTCCCAGTCAGGTGCGGACTTCAAACACCGGGAAGCTGTCAGTCCTTTCGTCCTTGGGCTTTTACTTTAAAACACAATCATGGCGACCCCAGAACCTCTAGCAGATCGTGTGGCGAGCGACAACAATGTATTCGCCCCAGACGTATGACTTCAACCTCATCTAACAGACCGCGCTAGTCTGTCAACTCCAACAGCGAAGGATCAGGAGAACTGACCGCTGTCGTCGACGACCTTCTCAACCAACTCAACACCAAATTCACAACAATCAGCAGTGAGTTGCTGTCCAAAAGTAGGTTCTCTGCTGATCTTGGAGTCTGTGAGGGCTGACTGTTAGCAAGTGGACGACATGTCGCGACGGCTGGACAACTTGGAAGCGACTATTCAGGCCAGCGAAGGGAGCAAGCCGTCTGGGACTGGGAAGTAGAGTGTCTCTACCCAAAGACTACGATGAACGGTTGCATCCAAGTGTTCATTAACGGACATGTTGCGTTGTAAGCAAGTTGTTGAGCGTTGGAGCATCATACGCGTTGTTTGATATATGTACATACAGTGCGCTTGTCGCAAGTCGTACACGTATACTGCATATGTTCTTTCCCATCCATTTCAAGTAATGATTGATGCTATCTCATGACCATGACCATGCACAAGCCTCTCGGCGCATGCAACTTCGTTCTCTACTATATATCTTATCCTATACCATTCTTAACCTACACAAGCGCTAATGCCAAAACGATCGAAAGTTTCATGAGTCCTTTACAACTCAGACTTCTCTTCCATGCCCAAAAACTTCCTCAGAATGTTACTCCTGCTGGTAACATCATCGACCTTCTCAGGGGCTAAAGTGCCCTTGGCAAGAATGCCCTGCAAGCGTTTGAGCTCCTTAGCAGCATAGTCCTTGTTTGCCCCAATCTTTTCAAACACCTTGACGTAGTACTGAGCGTACTTGTCCTGGAGACCAGCAGCAATCTTCTTCGCCTCCTCCGCTCCATCGCCGTATGCGCCCTGAAACTTCTCGATGACAGAGTTGAAGGCCTCGATGGTGCCACCAGTGGCATCAAGTCCGCCACCGACCGCGCGGTGGGTGCCTGAGTTCGTGTTGAGGAAGTTGATGAAGTCGGCCTCGCTGCGCCCACCCTCATAGGGTAGAGCCTCGGTGGATCCCTTCTTGAAGTACTTGATGGTGGGGTAGCCTTGAACGCCCTGTTCTGCAGCGAGTGCCTTGGAATTCTCAGCCTCAGCATCGACCTTGGCGATCAGCACGTTGGGCTCGTTGATGAAGTCTTTGGCGAGCGTCTCCCAGATGGGGGCGAGCGACTTGCAATCTAGTAACTCGTCAGCAATGCATTTTCGCAGGGAATAACAAGGTTGACATGACATACGTCCGCACCATGGAGCAGTGAATGCGACTAGCACATCTTGATCCTTTCCAACCCTCTCCTTGAAGCTCTGATTATCCAAATATGTAACCGCGCTGGGCAGCTTGGCCTTGATCTTGGGCTTGACCCCCGACTTCTCTGTGATGAACTTGGCTAAGCTGTCTAGATCGCGTCCTCCATCGTAGTCGGCAGGCTTGTCGCTTTTCCCGTCGAACCACTTGAGTGTGGGGAATCCTGTGACGCCGAAACGCTTGCCCAGGTCCGTATGGGCATCCGCATCGACCTTCGCTACGCTGACTTTGTCGGAGGCGTGCTGGAAGGCACCAGCAAGTTCTTCATAGATGGGGGCAAGGTTCTTGCAGTGACCGCACCAAGGGGCGAAGAACTCTACAAGAGTGGGTTTTCCAGACTTGAGTACAACGTCGTCGAAGTTGGTGGGCTCGAGGTCAAGCACTCCCGCGGCGACAGTAAGAGCTGGCAGCAACGCAATGGCTACGGGTATCACGCGGCTGAACAACATATTGATCTTCTAGTGAAGCTCAGTGAAAGTTTGAGACTTCAATTGACTGTGTAATGTACAACAAGAGAGTTTAAATGTCAAGCGACGAGCACTGTACATGTGCTAGCGCTTAGCGGCTATTGGAACAGGTGGCGGCGAACTCTTGGCGGAACGTGGCCTCTTACACAGCATTGTTTCAGGTCTCAACCCATTTATAGCTTTTATCAGCACCGTCAGAAGAATGGGTACCCTATCACGTAATCTTCTATGAACGAATGTATTTGAGATGGTAAAATTCAGTTGCGCAGTACCATCTCCAACCAGTTCCTCGCCAATCGATAGGTGCTCACAACCCAATAGTCAGTGAGACCAAAATTATCATGGATATCACACTATATTGAACCTGGGCTCATGAACTGCTGTCCCCTAGTAACAAACTCGAAGGAGTTCTTACTAACCAAAGTTGTAGATGTTCTCAGCGGGCATGTCAATCAGCTGCTGCAACCCGAGTCCCCACTTTGTTTCTACATCCCCGTTGTCAATTCTCTGGTTGTTCCGGAACATGACAAAAGCAACCACGGATACGGTAGTGGTTACGATAGAAAAACCACAGGATGCGATTTATCATTGGTTATTAGCTTTGCAGCAAACGAAAAGGCCGCACTGCGCTCAGTCACCCAAGTGGGAATCAGAAACCCAGTCATCTGGTGGTAGAGTGACTTGGCTGCGAACGAGAAGTATGATTCCATCCGGCCGGCTTACCTGCTCCAAACGCTTTGATCAATATCCCACGAACATAAAATCGTATCGACAGAAACAAAAGCGACGCCACTGTTAGAGAGATTGCCGTGGCCGTAATGCGTATATTCCTATTTGGAACATTCGCAGGGTTGTGAGTCCAGCAGACACAAGTGCCAATCTCGTCAGATTCTGGAATCAGCCACGCAAGTGCCGAAGACCATGGCCACTAATACATTATGTCCACCATCAGACGATAACTGGAATTGGCGCACGTTATGCTCGTCTATCACAAAGGGATCTGGAACAGTTCACTCGGAACTTGCGCTGTTCCTAGGGCGTGCGTCCCGGATGCCTGGGGATCTCTGTGGCGTCTGCATATGCACTACAGTATATGCATTAGTCTCATCGCTATGCAATTATACATGGGTAATCTGCAGAATGTATGAAACAAATCTATAAAGTGAAGGATGACGCCGCAAGTATACTGCGCCGGCCTTACTGTCGACTTTACCGTCCAGCAAATTGACACATGTCCTCGCTAACACGAACGTCTATCGTTAAGCTCATGTGTGCAACGCTTGCTAGCCGTCAGTCTTTAAGCTGCTGCAAGACATTCCTTTGAGATTCAACATGACCACTCACAGTCTGAGTGGGATGCCTTCAATCAGACAGTGCGGACGACATTTAGTGGCAACTGTGCCACTTGGAGCGCTATCTCACCCACCCAACTTAAATAACGCCACCTGCGAGGCTTTGAGGAGTGAATGGCAGACTGAGAAGATCCAGTGTGCAAAGGATGCCACAGAATCAAAGATTACAACTGACATCCTATTAGCTACACCTCTTCTTCGTCAGTCATGGCACTATATTTTGCTGATCAAAGCTGTGACCCTTTCCAACCCAACGAGCGCCCTTGCGAGCTTAGAAACTACGCTCGATACGCTGTCGATGCATTCACACCTCTAGATATTCAACGGACCATTGCTTTGGCTACTTCAAAGAATATTCGCTTAGTTGTTCGTAAGACTGGACGTGATTTTTTGGTCGCTCTACAGCGGCAGGGTCTCTCGCTGTGTGGACACATCATCTGAAGGATGTTGCTCTGATCCGGCAATACCGTGACTCGGGCTACGCCGGACCAGCCTTCAGGTTCGGTGCTGGTGTCCAAGGATTCTGAATTATGACTGCTGCACGTGACGTAGGTATGATTGTCGTTGGTGGGGAGTGCCCGACCGTTGGGATCGCTGGTGAATACATGCAGGGTGGTGGGCACAGTGCCCTCAGGACTAGTTTCAGCCTTGCTGTCGATAATGTCCTGAAGTGGGAAGTCGTGACTGCCGCTGGAAAACTTACCATTGCCAACAAAATTGAGAACGTCAATTTGTTGTGAGTTTGAACGGAGGGGGTGGTGGCACGTGTGGCGTCACTGTCTCCGTCACACTGAAAACCTACCTAGGCAATGTATTCGGTGGTGCCTCACTATCATTTCCTGTGAAGGAGAATCTGAGTACTGCTGTCTATGATTGCATACAAACATCCCACAAGGAAGTGCTCGGCATGATCGATGAGGGACAATGGTAGTCCAATACTTTATCACCCAATTCTTCATGATTCGCCCCTCACAATGCATACAACAAGACCGCCCACGAATTCGAAGCCATCCTCGCCCCTTTTACCGGCAGAGCAAACTGATGAGTCTCATTATAAACTACACTGTCACGTACACCGAGTTCAAACCTACTACGGACACTGGAATAAGCTCTTTGGGCCCTCTCCTCATTGGCAGCATTCAAATCGGTATCGTACAGTACGACGCCCCCATCAACCCCCGATGCATCATCGGCAATCTCACTCACGACTGGAGAGACATAGTTGAACAGTAACATGAATCGGCGCCGGGACTAACGTCAATCTTTCAGTAAAAAGACACCACATCCGTCCACCCAGCCTGGCACAACATCCTCATTTACGCCCCTCTGACGTTGCCCTAGAACTTCTCGGTTCCCTGATCGCTAATGCCACGCAGAAGGAAATGACAGAGAATTAATTCCTCTTATTGAGGCGGCTACGTCGGGGAGCGGCGCCTAAGTGCATAAAGCGGATTAGAGGAATTCGAATTGGCAAGATAACTTGTGTACGCAGTGTAAAGAAGAAGTGGGATCCCGAGGATATCTTTTGCACATCTGTTGGAGCTGGTAGTGAGGCGTTTAACGGACGGTTGTGTCATTTTAGTTGAGCGTGAGGTGGAAAGGTCTCTTTTGGTGGGATGCCACGTAGATGTGGGTGGGTGGATATAAGCTTGGAGGGAGAGTTTAATGTTTCCTGAGACGATGCTGAGGTTAAAGAGCGTTGTAGTAGGGATGAATAAGTTGCTGTGGTTTGTAGCACTCTACTTTCGGATGATAGTTTTTCAACGTCCATTCGACCAGAGAAATAGAGCGATGCTAAGAGGAAGAGGAAGTGCGTGTATCTGCTTGATTAAATTGACAATTGATCTTTGTGAATTACATGTATGTCCATTGTTCTAGATACTAGAGAATAATAGCGGGAATTTCGAAGAAGAAAATCTGAATGGAAGACTTGGGAGGCGGGCTGTTTGGTATAGGATATTGATTTTGAATGTTAGTTCAAGTGAAATATCGTTTTTCAGACAGGCAAAAAAAGACTCATCCTGCAGCTTGGTGAAAGAAAAGCCAGTGGATTGTGAAGTATCTGCATCCTCCATAGTCGTCAGCCGAAACACCCACCCATGCAAAATCTACATCGCAGAAAACGCCCTCGCTATGCATGCAACTTTTCAGGTATAAATCAATCCGCAGTGCTTCCACAAAAACCCCAATTGCGAAACCCATGCCCCTCAGCCACTTTGTCTCTCATGTCGGCCCCCTCGCAAGTATATCCTCCCTTTCCAACACCTCGGGCTTGAACTTGATCAAAAACACCGTTTTCCCAGGCCACATGCCCTTCCCATCCTTGCCCTCATCCTGTTCGCCCACACTGTGTGCCGTAACACCCTCTGTCGGAAACCCGGCACCATCACACGTGCCCTCAATCACGCCGGCCACAAAGGCTGCGCAATTCAGACTGGAGAGCTCTTTGGGCAAGGAAATGTATTGGTTGACCATGGGCTCATTGTCGAATAACATGTATTGGCCTGGATCTGTGCCTGAGCGTTCCAGGGCGTCGGCGGGGCGGCCGAACAGGTGTCGATAGAGTGTTTGGGCGATGAATTGGAGCAGCGAGAGGATGCGTGTAGGGCGGATGCTGGCGAGGGGGTTGGGTGAGCGGGAGAGGAGGAGGTCGAGGAGGCGGAGGCCGATGGGGTAGCCTTGGGTGTTTAACCTATGTCGTTGTTAGCACGGATGGATAGTTTGTAGGTATTTGGGTATTGACGCTTTGGGAAATTATACCGTTGTTCCAGATCGCCAACATCCTTTGCGCCTTTCTGCGCATACGCAATCATCTCAATGAACAGATATGCAAATGCCGCCCGGCTGAGCTCTGCATTCTTACTCCGATTCAGATTGCGGTCATATATACTCTTTTTGTTCGATGGATACCGCAAGCCCGGCCCTTGGCTGGGTGTCCCACTCATGATGATTTATGCCCTGTGGTCTGCCTATCAAGTCTTGTTCGTCGTTGTGGTTGTGCCGTTGTAATGGTGATGTCGCATGCACATGCACATGCACATGCATCTGCGATTGCGACTGCGATTGCGGTTGCACTAAGCCTACCTATTGTCGCGGCAGAGCTGGTGGAGGCGACGGTGTGAAGTAGAACTAGGAGGGGGGATTGGCGGGGGCGATCGAAGTGAGGGTGGTGGAGCAACGACGGCTTGGGTCTTCCAAGGTTGGGCAGGGGTGGACGGACGTTGCGCCAAGGCATACCGTATGGATAGGTACGGTACGGGCGCAAAACGCCACAAACACGACACTGGATTCTTCTTTCTCCAGCCAGAAAAAGAAAGAACAGAAGGCCGGACCCAGGACGAAAGTCACTAGTTTTGTGTGCTTTCAATACGAATTTCGTCGCATATAGCTTGCAGAATCCACTCTGTATCGCACCAAACGAACCTTCACGATATTGCAAACTTCACTCTTTATCACACCAAATGAACCTTCACGATGTCAGGTGCGACCGGATAGATACCTAAAGCTTCCCTATCCAGGCCTACAACCGCTCATTACATTCGACTGAAAAGCTCCCTAACCCTTCAAGTAGCCTGTTCACTCATGCATACAGGGCTCTCTACTCAGACATCCTGCTGTAGGCCATCTTCACTGCTCATTTGGACGCATCCTCTCTTTTCTTTGCTTTTGCCTTGCCATCAACTACACGCAACGTCTTCCAGGCCAATATACCACCACCCATGTGCGAGACTGTGACCCGCCTTCCCAAGGCAGGAAAAGCTTCCTTTGCTACCAAAGGCTTATTGTTTAGACGGGGTAGCTCGTTAGGTCTTGGTGTGTTTGCAGTCCAGGCCACCGTTGTCTTCGCAGGAATCGGGACAGGACTTCCGACCCTCTCGTCAGACTTGGGGCTTTGTTCGTTCTGCGGTTTACGAGCATTCTTGAGTTGCATTACTTGTGCTTTGGCCTCGCGCACTTTGATACCCGTCGCCGTCTTTGCAGCTAGTGATTGGTCTTTCTTTGCAATAGCAGCATGGAGGGCGTTCTCCCAGATCGAAACAAGGCCGTCCAGATGTTGGAGTGCAGCAATCTGTCGATCGAAGGAAGTGACGGCCACAATTGGCATGATGGATGGCGTGCCGTTTTTTGAGATAGTGGTAGATTCCAGCTTCTCTCGCAGTGCGTCCCCCTCCCTCTTCACCTTCTTTTGTTCGTCCTTCAGATCATCAATGTCCACCTGTAGTGTGTTATTGTCCACCTGAAGTCTAGAGACATCGGTCCTGAGTTGCTCATAGCCTTCTCTCAACAGGGACAGTTCCTCGCCCCTTGTTTTTAATTGTTGCTCGAAGTCGTCCCTTGCCTGACGGTGTATGTCACTATCCTTCTCTAGTCGCGCCACACGTAGCTGCAATGCTGTATTTTCCTCCTTTGTTTTGTCGTATTGCAAAGCCTTGCTTTCAGCAGTGCTCAACCTATCAGAAAGCTCCAATTTGACATCGGCAACGCGACTCTCGACTCGTTTCTGGACATCTTCGTAGTAAGTCTTCTCTACGTCGCGCTTGCTGTACTTAAGCATCCGTTCTGTTTCCAGAGTTTTGTCCTTTGCGGCTTTCAATTCCAGCTTGAGAGCCCTAATCGATTCGTCCTGTCGTCTGAGTGAGGCGTTCAACGTGTGAATTGCGTCATTCGCGGCATCTAAGCTTTCACACAAGCTCTCATCATGCATGCATTTAGGTTTGCAGTTCCATATTTCCACACCTGCATATAGTAGTTTGTACGCAAAGAGCTTGAGGACCTCTTCCATTGCTGTCTGTTCCTCTTGTAGTTGATGCCATGCTTTCCTCCAGGCCTCAAAAAACGTCGGTCTCAAGTTTCTGAAAGTTTCACCTTGGCTGATGTTGTTTCCCGTAGTATTCTGGTTTTTGGCCATCCACTCGTTTGCAATATTAGCAGTAACGGCGTCTAGACAAGCTGATGCTTTCAATTTCCTTTTTGTCTTTGTTTCTAGCAACCCGAAATAGCGGTCTAGATCTTGCAGTTCTTTCGTGGCACAACTCTTCGTATGAAAGTCCAGATACACGAGAGCTCTTGTGAACTTGGAGAGATCGCCGGGTTCACGGTGGGTGACATCGTACTCCCAATGATGGACGCATGTGCCACTTGCTTTGTATGCGCGCATCTCTGTGTTCACAAGTGCGATGTGTTTACTCCAGGAATCTTTGCAAATTGGGGCTCCATGCATCGGACTAGAAGATGGCATAGATTCTGCTCCTAGCCTTGCCAAAGTCTGAACTGTATTTGCGGCGTAACTAACGTCAAGGGACGCATCGAAATCCTGATGTTCGCATCGAGTACGGATTTTCTCCCACAGGATTCTGTGCAGCATATCGTCAAGCCGAGCGTGAGCTTGTTCTTCCACACAACCATCTTCCTCAACATGATCTGTGGCTAGATTCAGCGGGAAAGTTCGATTGGTATTCATAATAATTGCACAATCTGTGAGAATGACTAGGGTTGTAGATGAAGGACACCGGTATACGCGCGTTTCCTTGAAATTGAGATTTTGTCTAGCGGGTTGACAAGCGATAAAAGGAGATTACTCGCCACCGATTTGAGACAGTGTTTCGATCGCAAGTTGAGTTCTTTGGTTTGTGGGAGCTAGAAAGTCACCACTTATGAATACCCAGCTGATGATGCAGGTCTCGTTTGCATGATGCAGATAATGAGCATGCCGAGCTAGTTTGTGCTAACCGCAAGCGTTTGAGTGGGTGGGGTGAGAGCAGGTACATGCTCACTCATTATGTCGAAGTGAGAGTCACAAAGCGCGCTTCACCAGGGAATTAGCAGTAGTGGCTTGTTCTATGCTTCTACACTATCCATACCCCCTAAGGGGGCTTTAATCGGTGGTATTTGGCATAGCAAGCTTATACACAAACGACAATTCAGCTTTCCATATTGGTTGGCACATTGGTACATCATGCTGCTGCAGCTGCCCTTAAAATTGCGAGGCTGCCATGGTTCTCCACTCAGCGCTGAAACGCCAGCGTTCATACCAGGCGATACTCCAATCAAGCAAAGTGAAGGCCAGCATCCAAAATTTGAAAGCGAACACCTTGAGATGGATGGCATCAATGCGGCTATATACGACCCTATCGACGCGAGCGGTACCGGTACTGCAAGTGTATCAAATGAGACATCCAACAATCAGCTCCCGGCAACCGAAAATCCTGGCAACGTTGAACGATGCGACTTTTGCGATACTACGGGCCGCATACTCGATTGCTGTCGAACATCAAGAGCTAGACGGCCATGCACCACGTGCACGAGACTAGCTGAGCTCTTTACTCAAGATTACCGCAAACAACAAGAATGTATCGAGGACTTGAAACACAAGTTGGAACAGCAGAATCGCGAAACACTAGATGAGAGATACACTAGGCTGCATGTCGAAAAGAATAGAAGGATCGAGCAGCTCAAGGAAGAAACCATGAAAGTCGAGCAAGAGGATGCAGAACTGAGAGCAGACGCAGAGAAGCGACAGTGGGAATTGAAAGCGTTGAATATGGAAATTAGGAGGTTGCAGCCGGTACAGCTATTCTTTATTAAGGAGAGAAAGGGCAAGAAGTGATAGGTCAAATATCGTATGCCGGTAGGTACCATTGATTTGGAGTTAAAGTTCCTCCTGCATGGGATACCTTTGATTAGGTGCCATTTCCTATCTGATTACATGACTGTGGAAATTTGGATCACTAAGGTCAGGAATAATTTAGGAGATGGATTATTAGATTGTATCTACTACGATTGGACTTATATATATAGAGCTTTAGCTACCCTTACTAGAAGGTGTATAATTAGTAAACCTTCCTTACTAGAGCTTCTACTTCTATTAGGTACTTAGTAGTAAGCTAGCAGTTAATTAGATAGTAGGTTGTATAGGGGTATTAATTAGGATTAATTAGGATTAATTAGATTAAGATACTCTATAATCTAGTTATTATCCCTCCTGTGGAAATTTGGATCACTAAGGTTAGGAATGATTTGGGAGATAGATTATTAGATTGTCTCTACTACGATCAGACTTATATATATAGAGCTTTAGCTACCCTTACTAGAAGGTGTATAATTAGTAAACCTTCCTTACTAGAGCTCCTACTTTTATTAGGCACTTAGTAGTAAGCTAGTAGTTAATTAGATAGTAGGTTATATAGGGGTATTAACTAGGATTAACTAGGATTAATTAGAATTATTTAGAATTAAGATACTCTATAATCTAGTTATTATCCCTCCTATAACACACCCCTTAGGTATAGGTAGATCTTTTATTATTATAGTTATACGTATATAGTTAGTAGGTAGTGTAGCTAATTAGAGCGTTATACATCTAAAGGGTTAAATTAGCGCACCCTTTAGATACTAGTTTAGAGCTAGTGTACCTTCCTTATTAGGCCTATATACTTATATACTAAAATATTATCTAGACTAAGCTCTAAACTCTATCTACCTAACTATAATCTTTACTATAGCTTAAATTATAAGATTATATAACCTTAAAGATCTAACTATACTTATATCCCTACTAACCTATATCTTAGTTAAAGTTAAAATCTACTACTTACGCTTACTCTATCTATACTACCCTTAATACCTCTTATACTACTAAAGCTACTACTACTAAGGTTAAGCGTGCTAATACTAATACTACTAAAGAAGCTAAGTATATAGCTACTAAGTATAAGGCTATTATAAAGTATATAGTAGCTAAGTATATAGCTACTACTACTACTAAGAAGGCTATAATTAATACTACTTATAAGAAGTATATATAGTTATATTTAGCTAAGATTAAGAAGATAAGGAAGGGGTATATCTCTACCCTAGCTCTTACTCCTTCTCTAGCTCTATCTCTATCTTTAGCGCCCTCTCTAGCCCTTGCTCCTCCCCTAACCCTAACTAAGGCCCCTACTCCTACTCCCTCTCTAGCTCCTAAGGAGACCCTAAGATCCTCCTACTATAGAGAGCTTAGTATTTACTATACTAAAACTTATCTAAATTATCTACGCTCTATGCTCTTTAATAAGTCTAATAGTAAGTGCTATAACTTTTCTAGTAGGGAGACTTAGTACTAGAGGTACTTCTCTAGGTATAGCTATATCCTAAGATATATAATCTATATAAGAATTTTTCCTTTATAATACTTAGTAAAATTAATACTAATAAACTAATTTAGCCCTAAGCTTACCTAATATACTATACTATCCTTCCTAGTAAAGAAGTAGGTAAGTAAGAGCTAAGATCTTCTTAAGAATTTAAAGAGGAAGATATTAGTGCTCCTTAAGGAGAGTAAGGCTAAATAGCAGGAGCTAGTAAAAGCTACTACTACTACTACTAAGCTTGCGCGTAAGGCTACTCTTATAGCTAAGGGTACCTAAAGCTCCTTATCTAAGGATAAGGACTCTAGCTCCTCTAAGGTTCCCCCTATAGATCCTAGGTAAGGATAACCTAGGTAGCTCTATATAGACTCTAAGGCACGCTACACGCGCGTAATAGAGCTTATTAGGGAAGCTACTTAGTTAATAATAAAGAGGTAGGCTATAGTTATTTTTATATTATATATTAATAGATCTTATATTACTATGGTACAAAACTGGTTTATAGTAGCTATATTTATCTAAAGTAGACTAAGAAGTAGTTTAGGTAGAAGAAGTAAACCTAAATAGGGTTTATTATACTATGTATTCCACAAAAGTAAACTACTTTTATTTCTACTTCTATTAATCTACTAGTATTACGTAGTAATACCTAGTTTCCTACTATTTAAGTATTTTACCCCTCCTTTCTTTAATCTTCTTTACTACCTCTATCACCACCTCCACCACCTCCACCACCTCTACTACCTCCACCACCTCTAT